ATGAACTAATGAACAACATTATTGTTTTCTAATATTTTTTTTTTATACCTAATGTTATTTTACTGTTATTGGGGTCTATTCTGTAAAAATTCCTTTATATTTAACGGCCTTTAAAAATATTTTCTTCTTTACTTCTGTCATTATTTAAACGGATCTTTAAAATACATTAGAGGGCTATCTTAAAGAAATCTGTTTAAATAATGACAGAAGTAAATTAACGAATACGAACATATTTTTATAAGCCGCCAATATTTTTAAAGGCCGTTAAATATAAAGGAATTGTTACAGAATAGACCCCATTATCCTATAAAAATGTTTGTAAATGAAATCACGTTTTTTATTTCGACATAACAGAATAGGTAAAAGACTTTAGAAATTATTCAATAATATTAATTTATTAAATATACTCTCTTAATTACTTAATGTCGTCCTAAGGTATCATCGGGTATTTATTGTTTTATGGTGATTAAAAAAGAAAATATTTCAATAGTTTAGCCAACTGAAATGGAAGGGGCTCGTAATCGTGTAGTTCTTTTGAGAGACCTCATATTTTTTGACATTTTAGTAAAACTTCTTTCACTTTGTATAATTTGTTGATTATAGGTCTCAAATATTTATATTTTTCAGTTAGCGAATCGTCCATTTGGTGGAGGTCGTGCGGCACACGACGGCGCCATGTATAAAGACGCCATTAGGTGCCTATTAAGTTAAATTATAGCATTGTTCTTTGTTACTGTTGTTTCGTTGGCGCGTGTCTGCAGTTTTTTATAAAATGTTATTTAGAAGTATAAAGACAATTTAGAAAATACCTACGAAGAATATTGCAAGTTTGCAAATACCTACGTATCACGTATCTAGAATTTGGTTAGGTTTGGGTCAAAGTCAAGCTAGTACGTTTATTGTTTATGTTAATCCTTTTGTGAGTGAAGTGGAATGAACTATGACTGTTTACCTACCTATATTTTTCAATAAATCGACATCGCTGGTCGAAAGGTCAGTCAATATTCTCATTGCATATACGAGTATTTTCTTCGTTTTATTGATAAACATGACATCCTTTGACATGGTTGTATTCAATTCCAGTTAGTTCTTTGTTATTTTCTTATCGACTATTATTTTTATTTAATAATTATTAATTATTAATTCGTTTAGTCAGAGGCGCACGCAAAGGCCATAATAACATAAGTAATTTTCTAATTTGGTTTAATTTATGGTTTTTCTTAAAATTTTCTCGTGTAGGTAATATAGATTTTCACATGCATATTTTAATATGCCCAGTCACACGAGTGGGAAAAATAACATTTGTACAATATTTTACCTACGACCATAAAATTTGTAAGTTTGATTTTTATTTTCCTTATCGGCTGTGAATAATTTTGAAATTGTTTTGTCAAAATTAAAAACATTGTCCTATTAGGTACAAAAAATATTACGATACAATATTATTTTTCATTAGTTTATTTTATTTTAAATAGATATAACTAATAATAAGATGTATCTTTTTTTTTTTGTTAATGCTACCTATTTACATTTTTTTCTGAAGCGTTATAAAAATAGTAGAAAATAAATAACAGAAATATTAATTGGATTAGATTGTGATAAATAAAATCTATTTAAAACAAATAAACAACAATATTACGCATTTTTTTTTTTTTCAATTTTAATTTTTGTTCCAAAATAAATTTTGTTTTTACCGGGAATTGAACGTCGGTCGCGAACTCCAAAGTTGAACGCTCAACTATCTGAGCCATGAAGGCTTAGTGTACATCTGTTGCTGACTACATATGATATGCTATTTTCAAAAATATAATTAGAAGATTTTTATCAGCTCAAGTTTCTGAGCTTCAGCTATGTAGCTATAAAACAGAAAAAAAAACATTTATTTACAAAGAAAAATTTACTAAAAAAATAATCATTGATTTCTAAAATACTTCGTTTTAAAGCTCTGCTCTTATGTGTAGACTTTGGAAAATGACGTATCAGAGACCAACAATAATCAGACATCATATTCGTGTCCCAGAAACCCTGATAGTGCTCTTCCATGACGCGTAAGTCTTGATGCATACGCTCTCCCTGCTCTTCGCTCATGTCTTCTAAATGTTCCGGAAACCTGTTCAGGTGACTATAGAGGAAGTGGAGTTTTATGCTCATATTGCACCCCATATTTTTTAATTGTAGCATAAGGTCTTCCACAAGTTCAATGTAATTTGCAGATTTTTTATTTCCGAGAAAATTCTGCATCACAGAGACGAAAGCTGTCCAAGCCTTTAGTTCTAACTTAGTCATAGAATTTATGAATTGAGTATCTTTCGTAAGTTGACTAATTTCGGGGGCCATCAAAAATACCGGCCTTAATCTTTTCCATAGTGAGCTGAGGAAATGTTTGGCAAATGTAAGAAAAAGTTTTCGTCTTTATCTAGTGATTTAACAAACTGTTTCATGATGCCCAGTTTTATATGTAATGGTGGAAGAATAATTTTGTCACGAGCTACGCTATGCAAAGCATTTTTCCAAATCTCTGATGCTTACATTGGGATTGAATAGACTAATGTTCTCAATAGTCTTTGTTTCCGTATCTCCCTCTTTATTAGGCATAAGTCTTATTAAAGAGGCCATAACATTCTTTGCTTTAGCCACTGCGTTCTCTAAAGTGTTCCTTATATGACAAGCTTCTATCTAATGTGACCCCCAGGTACTTTATACTATTTTTTGGTATAATAGGGACTTCTTCAATTGTAAACGTAATTGGTCTACTCAGGTTTTTCCTACCAGTTAGTAACATCGCCTCTGTTTTCCGGTGCTAGTTTGAGATCATTTAGTTTTATCTACTCACTGATTTGTTCCAGAATGGTGTTAACCGAAATTATGAGGCCTTCCTCCGTTCTGTCTGTGACTATAATGAAAACCTTATAAACAAATATTTACAAATCAAATTTAAATATAAATTAACCAGCTATAATTCAAATAAATTGAAACATATATATTTATTGAAACTAAGTCATCTGCGTTGGCAATGACATTAATATTAGGCGTTGTCTCTATACGTAATATTCCATTATATAGGATATTCCACAGTAGTGGACCCAAGACAGTTCCCTGAGGAACTCCAGCTGCTATCATAGTAGTATCAAAAAGTAGTTTTCTTAAAAAATTAAAATTTTGGCAAAATAAATTAGGCAATAATATCTAGAATATGCAAATATTTCATTCCGTTTAGTTTCCGAGAAAAAATAAAAAGCTTTAAAATACCAGAAGGCAGCACTTAACGAGGCGTTTTAGCCACTAATTTTGGCGAATTTTAAAAAATAATTAACAAGACATTAAGAGCTCAAATTTCAGGATTATGTTAAGAATAGTGCTCTTGAGGAATGCATTTATTTTCATTATGATTTTGTCTTCTCGGAAACTGAAAGGAATTAAAACTTTAAAATATACGCATATATAGATATTACCTAATTTATTTTGCCAAAATTTAAATTTTTTATCAAAGTTACTTTTTAGAAATATCCTTGTCCGAAAATTATAAGGGGCGCTGTATTCATCTTGTAATAACAATAATGTCTAAATCAAATTATTTTTTGAACATTTCGAAGAAAATCTTGAATATTTTTTTATAAATAATTCTAATTCTAACACAGGGGTAGGTAGAGATTTTCTAAACGAGTAGTACACGGTCTGTAAGGTAGGTATAACAACCGGAGCAGCGTACGAAACAGTGATTTCCAAATAAATATTCTTCGATATTTCACTTTCTTTATGCATCGAACTTGTGCAAAATTCAAATATTGCACCAATACATCATATTGCATATCATACTCAGTCATCACTATCTGGAATGCGCATTTATATTAAAAAAGCGATATATTATTAATGCACGGGTATTGTAAATATTTGTTGACTTCGTCAATTTCCTTTGTATTTATTTATTTTATCGAGATTCTCAAATACATCAACTTCCCGGATGCAAACAAAAATACAATCAAGACAAACAATATCGCCGGTATGATTCTCTAACTTTTTAAAAGACTTGAAGGCCATGTTGAAATTAGACAGGTAACTGAAGTGTACAGAGTCCTCTATGGACTAGTCTTTTGCAAAAACAAACAAAATTATTCCTGTCATCTCTTTTTTTAACTACTTTGCTCCGGATAGTTATTGGAGCATATTTCATTTCGTTCCTCTACTACGACTTATGGGAGGAAGTTAGGGTTGCCAGATTTATGAAAGGGAAAAGCGAAAAGCCGGACAACGGTGACGACAGGGCATCAGTTTCAAATACCAAGTATTTTTATATAATCAGGTCCATTCTTTGGTGAAATTTCTAAAAAAAGGTAATTTTCTGACGAGCTTCCAAAAAAAAAGTTTTTTCATAACATTATTTACAGCTTTGATTATTAAAAAGTGTGGCATTTTGGTCAAAAGCGGTACATATTCGTACTTTGGAGTGGCGCGTGTAGGCAAGTCAAAAAGCGCGGCAAATACGCCTAAAGCGGGGCGTCTGGCAACCCTAGAGGAAGTGGGTGAACTAAACTATTCTGTTGGTAATATAGTTTTACCTTTAATATTATAACTAATCAACAATTACATTTAATTTGAAAATTAGCGAGCTTTTGATTTTACTTCTACTTTAAAAGGATAATTTGCTTTGGTAATTATTGTCTATCTAATAAGAAATGTATCCATGCACATTTTTGGTAGTACCCCACTTATAAAGTAAGATTATCTCAATTTTTGAGAAATAACTAAATCAAAATTCGAGTGGCCCCAGGAAAACTTATTTAACTTTAACCTAAACGTATATATGAACTATAGATATGTTCATAGGTATATTTCGTATTGGTTAGAAAGAGACAATTGCCATAGTACATTTTCCTCTTAATTATAATTAAAATTTTGCATTTTTATAATAACACGAACACTTTAAGGGGACTAGGTCATATCTATATTTTTAGTACGTACATCAAATGATTTATTATTCTTATTTTTTTTTTTTTTTTCAGCGAGCAGTCCATTGCTAGTGCCCGAGCAAGTGTGATGGTATATGATGATGTTAACAAAAAATGGATACCATCGGGCACGTCGTCGGGTCTGTCAAAAGTTCACATCTACCAACACACGGTACATCAAACGTTTCGAGTAGTTGGCAGAAAACTTCAGGACCACGAAGTAAGTAATATCTACAATAAAAGTTATTGATAAGTTTTTTGAAATCCCTGACTAATACAAGAATGGCTAATGAAAGAATAACATAATATTTTTACTCAAAAAACCAAGAACCCAACGCCAATGTCTGCATTTATGATTTAATATAAAACAATTTCTTCCTGGCAACTACTCAAAATTCAGTTAATCACTACGAGGGTTGCCTTTTATATTTCGGGATTGGACAACCCTAGTGTTGCAAACTGGCAACTGATAGCTCTGTCGTAAAGTTTTAAGGTTATGCGTACTCAGAACGTTTTGACATACGACCGCTATTTGTGTTGTTTACAGTAAACTTAAAAAGGTTCATCTCGGCCAAATAATGGAATTAAATTGTGAACATTTTTCGTGCGATTATTTTTTACAACTTTCGACGTGGATTAATTAACTCAGCAACAGAGCATCGATGAACTTAATTAAATTTTTGGCGATAAAGCTCCATCAAGGACCAGTGTTTATCGATGGTATGGTGAATTTAATCGAGGTCGTAGTTCGCTCCAAGACGAATTTCGTGAAGGTCGTCCAAAATCAGTTATTGTTCCAGAAAACATTGATGCTGTGCGCGAACTGATATTGAAAGATCGTCATGTGACCTATTGTGAGATTGAGACAACCATAGGCATTAGTGGGACCATCATACATTCAATATTGCATGAACATTTGACTGTCAAAAAAATTTGTTCGCGTTGGATCCCACCTTAATGGATCCCAAACAATTTGTCAATCATTCAAAAATAGGCTCGTCGATTGGTCGAAAGAAATGCTCAAAAAATACTATCGCGGTACTTCGAAACACGTCTATGACATAGTGACAGGTGACGAATCGTGGATTTACGCGTATGAGCCCGAAAGTAAACAGCAGTCGACTGCACTTCCAAGCAAATGGTCGCCTGTTTTTTCGGAAAAACTGGATATGTCGCAACTGTACCACTAGAATAACGCAGAACAGTCAATTCTGAGTGGTACACAACCATTTGTTTGCCAGTTGTCTTCCAAGAAATGAGGAAATCCAACCGTCGAAGACGAATCACTCTTCACCACGACACACATCGGCTCAAACAACTGCACTCAAAACATCGATGTGATAAGTCATCCGCCGTATAGTCCTGACTTGGCACCGAATGACTTTTTTTATTCCCGTACGTAAAACATAAACTGAGAGGTCAACGTTTTTCGATACTTGAAGAAGCGTTCAGATTGCATGTTTTGGAGATACCTCAATCAGAGTGGCAAACGTTCTTCGCTTCGACAATTGGTTCAAACGCATGCATAAGTGTATAGATCTTCATGGAGAATATTTAGAAAAACAATAAAGCGATTTTCGATAATTAATATTTGTTTTTGTTCTCTAATCCCGAAATATAAAAGGCAACCCTCGTATTACTCCTTTTCGTACAATTATTTTATCCTAGATTGATTTTAAGCTACTAAATCCAAGTTTATAACTCAAAAACTTGTGTTTGTTTTATAATTTGTTCTCTACTTTCCACCCTCTATTCTAATTCTCACCTCCTCGCACTAATTATTAACTTTTAACAATAATTACTTGTAGATGAGATGCTATTGTATTGTGATTGTTTGTATCGCTTCTCTTTAGCTTCTACTTTCTTTCTTGTTTCCTCATTTCTCCTTAACTTCCTTACCCTTATCACACAATTCACTATTAAATTATACTATGCAGTTATTATTGGATTTTTGTTTTGATATTCTTGATTTTGATCATTTACATTTTTAGGACTTTTTTAATAGGTGCCATTTCTAAAAATTGCTTTTTTCTTGTTTCTAATTTATGTTTTTCAAGTGCGATTAAATTATTTTTAGTGTTTTTGTGGGTACATACTCTACTTTATAGATATTGTTTGGATTTTCCAATGTAAGCTTTATCAGAATTATCATTTGTACATGATATTTGGTAGATTGTCTGGTTTTTTTTTTTGTTATCTAATCAAGAAGTTATTATTTAATCTAATGGGGTTTTCACCTACCACAACTTGGACAAAATTAAAAAACATCATTTTGTTGATGATAAGAGAATGAAGGTGCCTATTCTGAATAGTGCGTTGAATGCGTTGAACCCGAAATATAACAAAGCACCTTTTGAAAACTGGTTATTTTCCATGCACAAAATGTTTATATTCTTATATTCGCCTCTTCTAAAACAATGTGCTCACATACATCATAACTTGCGTATCCTATACTATCTAAATATAGAATTCAAGTTTTGCAAAAAAAAACTTCCAAGAAATCGAATAAATATTTACACTTTCCCTAAGTCGTTCAGTTCTAAAACAATCATAAAAGGAGTCTCCATTTGTATAATTAAAACTAAAGCATTCCATTCTTATCTTAAAAATAAACAATTAGGGCATTAACATTCTTTACCGCTCTGACTGATAACTTCGAAGAATTCTCTTCGAACATTGGAATTACTGACCGTTGATAAAATTATTTATAGGCAAAATATTGCAGTCGATGGCAGTCTCCCTTTTGGTAGTGACCGTATACTCATTTTTTGTCTTCAGTGTTCATATTTTGTAAGCTAAATATCGAGAAAAATATTTAAAACATTGTTTTTATATAGGTATGTAAATTATTTTTTTCTAATAGCTTTTTCGGATTTAAGTTAATTTTGGTTTACTAGAACTATTCTCTAAAAAAAGTACAGTTTAGAAAAAGATGGTAGTAGTTTTTTGGTAAACTTGAATTGATCAAAATAATTGTCTTGCAAAAAACAAGGAACAGCAACTGGTTTGTATTATACTGAAAATTGTCGCAAAACTTACCCCCGAACTCGCTAATGGACACTTGGACGTTTCCTCACCATTATACACCACCTCTAGAGCCACTCGTATCCTTTAAATTTACAAGAAATCAACTTGTACACTCTCCCTGCAGTCCTGATCTTGCACCCTACGATTTTTATTTACTTCCTAAAATCAAGGATCGACTGAAAGGGTGTAAGTTTGACGGTAATCTTTAGTTTGAAACTGATAATGCCTTGGTTGCAGTGTAGGAAGATGCATATGCATACCTGGAGCTCAGTAATGATCATTGAGCCAACATAACAGGTAGTTGCTAATAACACATGACTTCTTTATTTTACATTTTGGTCACATTGGTTGCTTTTAGCAAACACAACAATTAACTTATTTTCTTCTGAATTACAAGTTTTGTCGACGTTGCGCGAAACAGTTGTTGGAACGGTTGCCATTTTTTGTGGAGTATTTAATTTATGCTACCTAGTAGTAAACATGTTGCATATTCTCAGGTTAAAATCAGCTAAGATAGGTAGAAATATAAACAATCAACAGTACGGCACAGTGTACCAATTTATCCGACATTTGTAAAATCAGATTTAACTTGATATCGGTAAGAGCGAAATTCAAATATTTGCATCCATTGAACCACCGAAGCGCTCCCTATAGCCCTTACTTTTTTATATATAAAAAAAAAAAATGAAATCAAATAATGTTAGAAGTTATGTGATTTTAAGACAATACAAAGTTTCTTTATACTGTACAATGAAACTTTATAATGTAACTTTAATAAATATCAGTGCTTCAAAATGCAAAGGCTATGCAACTGTTGCAAATGAAACTGAAACGAATCCTGATCACGGAGCCATTCTAAACGTAAATTGTCCCATTTCTATCTGTAACATGAGAGTGGGTTAACCTCACTAGGCCCATTGTGCATCCTTCTAAATTGGTAGGCAACGTTCTCAAGAGGTTTTCTTATATCGGTCGGTGCCAATTCTCGCCGAACACAGATCTTCTAATAAAAGAGAGCGATGGGCAATCGTAGAGAATATGCTCTTGTTTGCACCCCTGCAGATTGCGGATTCTGACAGCCCAATATAATGGAGATGCTTCCGTACTTGACAATAACCAGTCAGAATGCCTAGGATTAGGCGCATATACTGTCTAGTCATAGTCAAGTATTTGTTTGCTGTAGCGTTGTCAGGAAAACTTAAAAGCTCCCTGGCAACTCTACAGATCCTCATTTCATTCCATTTTCCTAGAATTTCAAAAGGGAATGTTCTTTAATTAGGTTTGTCATTACATATTATTCAGTCCAATAGAAGGGCCAGACCCAAAAAGTATTTGGTTGACTGCCTTCTTGGCTAGTGAATCGGCAAGATGATTGCCTTTCGATGTGGCGTGACCTATAAGCTATTTTAAGGTGACCACATTTTTTATGGATACTTCGGCCAAAGCTTCGTGACATCCTAGTACTAACCCTGAGTAAATTCGGGGTCTGTCAAGAGTGAGTAGTGCTTGATATCTGTATAGATGAGCATATTCCTTCCAGATATATTGTTTCTGGTAACTTATTTTGCCTGCTATGAGAATCCCCGTGAGCTCCGTTTGAACTACACACATCCTGAACCTTGTTTTGTTTTTGAACCGTCGGTGTAGATGTGTTCGTATCTGCCACTTCCGGTTTCTTCTATTAGTTTCGTTATAACTTTATATGGCCTATGGAAGAATGACTTCCATGGCTCTGGTCGGTGTGTTTTCCATGGCTCCTGTTATGTCAAGATATGCTGCTCTTTAAATTTGTTCTAGTGTGCGGATAGCTGTCAATTATTGGGTTTTCGATACCTAGACAACTGTACCGTATGTTAGCATAGGTCTTGCGCCCCACAACAATGTATGCTTTTTGACTATGTTTTCCAAGTGTGAGTTCTATGTTAACTTACTGTCAACGGTGATACCTAGGTACTTCGCCTCTGTTGCAAAGTTTAGTTTTATGTTTAGGAGCTCTGTAGGTTTTAATTTCATTTTTAGCCTTCTTTTTTTGTGAAAAGGACTATTTCTGTCTTCTTGTACCCTAATATAATAGAATATATAATTCAACTTTTTATTATATCAGTTCCAGAACAAATCTATCAATCAACTCACCACATAAACTAAATATCAAAACATGCCTTTGTAATAACTTTTTCATTTATATTCTTTCTCAATGGATACTCCTCCACCAATTTGGTTTTCGGAAAGAATCACAGCATAAATCTAGCCCTAGAAGCCAAAAAATACTATACATCTACTTTTTTAGATGTTAGCCAGATATTTGATAATGTTTGGCATATGGATTTGAACTACAAAATAAAAAAGGTTAATGAAAGTATGTTTAACAATTTCCCATTTAAATCAGGTGTTCCACGAGGTAGTGTGCTCAGATCTTCACAGTATGTATTATATACAGGCTGATATACCAACAAATAATGAAACAGTCATGGTAACATTTGCCGATGACACAATCGTATTTGCAAGCCATAAAAGTCCAATTACAACGTCTGCGATGTTACAAAGACACTGGAATGGTATACAGATATGAAAAATAAAAATTATTGAGTCTAGGTAACTTTCACACTAAAAAAAATAAATGTTCTTCAATATTTCTAAACAATTTTCAAATACCACAATCACGAATTATCTAGGAATGTCCGTCCCTAGATTCAAGACATGGAAATAACACAGTAAAAAATGCAAACAAATTGATTTACTAATAAAAGAGTTACACTGGTTTATCTAATCGACAGAAAATCCAAATTAGTCCTTGAATAGTTATTTATGCAACAAGTGTGTAAAGTTACCCTTTGTTGACGAATGTGAATGTTGTCGCACGAGCCGTAGGCGAGTGCGACAATCACATGAGGTATATTTTTTTATGAAAGATAAATAATCAACTGCAGAATTATTTGGATTTAAAATCGTAAAAATGCGTCCTATTCCATTTTTGGTTTCTGATACTTTGACAATATACACTGTTTGTTTATCTTCCACATCGTTAATTGTCATTTTACATAATTCTTCCCGGCGACAAGCTCCCGCAATTCGAATTATATAAGCTACCTAAAAAATAACATATTGTAATGTTACAAATAATTTATTAATTATTTAGAAGGAGATAGCAAAAAAATGTTAATATAAAATAAAACGTTATATTTTGTTGTTATGTACAAATTTTGTCAAATTTTACTTTTTTTAACTAGTGCGTAAAGAGTTTTACTTTACGCACTAGTGAAAAAAAGTACAACTTTACACACTTCGTGGAGTGCGTAAAGTACGTACTTTACGCACGGTAGTAGAAAAAATATATTTTTTCTCTTTTACAAAACTATCATAAAACCTATCTGGATGTATGGTATTGAGCCCTCGGATGTGCGAGTAAATCAAAGAAGTCTAACCAAAATAATTCCTATGTTAACAGATGTACCTTGGTATGAATGCTTAAAAAATCCATATTATTATATTCATGATGAACTCTAAGAGCGAAAAACGAATCATCATAATCATGTAAATACACTTTTACATCCACTTCTAGAACACCAAAATGCAACAAGGCTAAAAAGGCACTGGCCAGCTTACCTATCAAATGGTTGAAGAGGACTTGTCGTTTGTCAAATAAGAGCACAACTCTGCTCTCGCACATTAGCTTAACGGACTACGTTTTGACTGCTAATAAATACATAATAATAAAATATTTTTCTATATGTGCTACATATATGATTCTATTAAATGTATGTTTACTTTGTCATATATTTTTATTATATTGTATTATTTGTTCTCTAAGGGCTTTTGTAAAAAAAAGGCCATTATTATTTGAGTTTGAAATTACATATTTTCCTTTTAAAAGTAAATTAATGTATATCGATCTCAAACCTTTAATTAAAAAATCTAGATTTCAAGATTGGTCTGTCTATTCGAATGGATGCATTTTTTTTAATAAATAATTCCATGATTTTTTGATTACCGTTTTAATTGCAAAGATCACTTACAAAATGGTACACAAAGACATTGCTTTAGGCGTTAACGCGACCTACTTTATACGCTCATTTTTTCAATTTTTTTTCTAGGTCGTCATCAATTGTGCCATTTTAAAAGGACTGAAATACAACCAAGCCACATCCACGTTTCACCAGTGGAGAGACAATAAGCAAGTTTATGGATTAAATTTTAGCTCTAAGGAGGACGCTGATTGTTTCGCTAGAGCCATGTTCCATTCTTTAGAAGTAAGTGAGATTTTTTATTGTTACAAATGTATTGTGTCTGGAGTTTATTGTTTGTAGTGTTTTGCTTTCGTTTAGCGCACCGAGACTTATTACAGTGCTCTATTTCTGTCAGGGATTGTAAAAATGGTGCAAGATGTAGACAAAATTGAGAGAAGAAAAAAAAGCCTTTAGAAATAATTGACTAGCAACACTATTTTTTTTTTAATTCATAAAAAAATACTTTTTTCTGTGATGGGAAAAAAGTTGACATTTTATCTCTCTTGTCAGGTAACAAAATGTCACTTTTTATGAAATTACTTTTTTCCCTGTTTCACGGAAAAAGAGTGTTTCTCCGGGAAAAAAGTGATTACTTTTTTCCGGATATACATATACAGTATGGTTCAAATGAAAGGAATAAATTCATTATAATGGAAGTAGTTGGTTTTTCGAAAAAATGCTCGGACAGGTCAATTTTGTTTATTTAAAGCGCAATTTTTTAAATAAAATTCAATTTTCCCCCACTTCCCATTTTTGGGCAGTGACGTCATTGACAATTTTTTTAAATAGCAACCCCAATTTTTTTTTTCTTGATTTTGATAGATCTTGCAATTTCCTACTCGGAAACATAATATTTGAAATATCTGACATAACAATTTTTTTTGAAAAAAAGTCATTTAAAGATCCTATACTTAAATTTTATGTTATTTTAAAACACAATAAAATAATAAAAGATAATTACTTGTAATTAAGTGCTTAATCTAAAAAAATAATAATAATAATAATAATAATAAAAATAATTTAATGACAATTTCACAAATTCTTTTTATTATTATTATTTTTATTATTATTTTCTTAGATTAAGCATTTAAGTACAAATAATTATCTTTTATTCATTTATTGTGTTTCAAAATAACATAAAATTTATGTATCTGATCTTTAAATTACTTTTTCAAAAAAAATTGTTATGTCAGATATTTCAAATATTATGTTTCCGAGTAGGAAATTGCAAGATCTATCAAAATCAAGAAAAAAAAATTGGGGTTGCTATTTAAAAAAATTGTCAATGACGTTACTGCCCAAAAATGGGAAATGGGGGAAAATTGAATTCTATTTAAAAAATTGCGCTTTGAGTAAACAAAATTGACCTGTCCGAGCATTTTTTCGAAAAACCAGCTACTTCCATTATAATGAATTTATTCCTTTCATTTGAACCATACTGTATACACATAAGTAAAGGTAGATATTTTAATTTTTTTTTTTTTTTTTTTCAATATTAAATCGTCGTTTTTCCTGCCACAGAAAAAAATAGTGTATTATACACGAGAAAAATATTAGATTTTTCCCTTGTATAATAAATAGCTATTATTGTCAGTAATCTATACATAAATAGGCAAAGACAAAATAGCTCAGTACCATTTTCTCTATTTGTGAACCGATTTTCTTTTTTTTTTTTAATTTTGTTTTACTAAACTATTGACTATTGACGACCTTTAGTGTTATCAATTTTTTTTTGGAAATATCATTTATATTTTTCCAACCTTCGATATATTTTATGAATTTGTCCCCCCTCCCCCTTTCGAAGTGTAGGTGGGGTGTGATGTTTCTTTTTCTCATAATTCGGGTATTTTTAGATATTGGTTGTATAAAATAAATTAAAAGATTTGAAAGATTCAAAAGATTAAAAAAATTCGAAGGATAGTCGGACCTCCTTTCCCCACCACCTTTTTTATACCTTTTCTGGGTTGTTAATGATTATTAAGCTGAGGCCGGATATAGTAGAGCGATGGAGGTTACCCACACTCAACCCCCCTTTTTTAGGGGCCTCAAGAGTAATCTAAAAATAAAAATCTGATGTCTCCAACACATGACTTTCCTATCTAGTTATTACAGGCTTTTTTCGGTTATTTTGTACAAACTATTGTAGCACCTCTGTAAATATTTAGAGATTAACTTAATATATACATTTTCCACATACATCGAAAATTCTGAAAAATTTAAATTTTATACTTTTCCTCCAATTTTTCAATTACGGCATTTTAGAGAAATAATGTAAAAACAAAAATTATAGAGATCGAAATCGCAAACATCTTTCAGTTTAACAAATTTCTTAAAAATTTGAATTTTTACATTTTTCAAAAATTTATCGAATACGGACCATTTTAGGAAAATTTTGTATAGAACAAAAATTATAGAAAATAATATAAGAAGTAACTTTTATTTGAACAATTTTTTTCTCCAAACGTAAATAACAGATAAAGGGGTCTATTCTGTAAAAATTCCTTTATATTTAATGATCTTTAAAAATATTGGAGGCCTTTAAAAGTATATTTGTATTCGTTAATTTACTTCTGTCATTATTTAAACAGATTTCTTTAGGATAGTACTCTAATGTATTTTAAAGATCCGTTTAAATAATGACAGAAGTAAAGAAGAAAATATTTTTAAAGGCCGTTAAATATAAAGGAATTGTTACAGAATAGACCCCATATTCCATAAAATATAAAAATGACCCTCTATAAAGTTCCCCTCCCCAGATGTTCCGACTCTGCCCAAAAATCTAATCAGTTCACCGCAGGCCGTAATAAACCTTAAGTTTAAAATTTAATCTTTTTCTTTTTTTTTTTTTCGTTTTTAAGTTTTTTCAAAATTCGAAATTTACATTTTTTCTCAAATATCTCGAATACGGTCCATTTAAGAGAAATTTTGTATGGGACAAAAATTATAGAGAATTATATTGCAAACAACTTTTATTTAAAGAATTTTCTTCTCTAAACGTAAATAACAGATATATTCCATAAAATATAAAAAATATCCTCTATAAAGTACCTCCCCAAATGTTCCGACTCTACCCAAAATCTAATCAGTTCACCACCAAGTTTAAAACATGGTGTTTTTCTTTGTATTCGTTCATGAGTTATCGAGGACACAGACATCATCGCGAAAATAGTCAAAACGGATTCAGGGGACCCCAAAACGTAAAAATTAGAATAATCTAAACCTAAAATAATAAACTAGTGTTCTGATTTAAAAAACATATGTTTGGTTCGTACCTGAGTCATGCAACACCCTCTATGTAATTTTAAAATATGGCCTTCAAGCCACCCTATAAATTTTGTTAATACATTTAAATATATTTTACAACAAGGATGATATCGAACTTTTCCACACCCTGTATATGCAACATATACAATTTAAAATAAAGGAATTAAAAAATCATAAAGTTGGTAATAGTAATAAAAATAGAAAAATACCACAAATATATTAGATAACATGTTTCACTCTTAAAAATAAATTTTATCTCGAAAATATTGTTGTGTAACATAACTCGAAATTTGACCAGTCTACGCAAAAGAACTGGCGATTACGTCATATATCGAATAGTGATGACGCCATATAAATAAACATTTATCAAAAAATGTTAATCTAAAAAAATACAACTGTACAGTTTATAAATCGTCGACTATTACCAGTTTTCAAACATTTTTGGTTGTTTTTTATTTCTTCATTGATCCTAATCCAATAAATGCACGAGTTTAACATTATGTAGATCAACAAAATTACAAAAACAATTTTCTTTATCACATCACAATTCTGCAAAATTCTGACATTAATTTCTAGTCAGTACTTACGTAATTAAATAATAAATCAGCTCTGTGGAACAAAATCCCTTCAAACGGACTGACATTAAAGCTCAACAAATATGGGTTGAAAGTTTCTTATGAGACCGTTCAGTGTTTGCTACTCTTCTACGTTCTTAAAGCTCGACCCGAGAGTATGTACTTCAAACCTTTTTCCCTAACATTATTCCTTTTGCTCTCATTCTCAGCCGCTTAATGATGACTCAAAAATTTAGTAAAATGTAATGTCTTTAAAACAAAACATATGCCATCCACAATTAATGTTTGATGAACAATAATAATTAAATTATCTACTTTAGGTATCTCTATGCCTTTAGGTTATTAATGGATCACCAAAAGCATGATGCGGCATCGTTATTATGTGTGGCTGCTACTAATTAAAAATTAGAGCAAGTACACAATAACATTATTCCTGGTCAACTTTCTGACTCTCTAAAGGCCTAAATAAGATTCAATGTTGAATACCGTTCACAAATCTGGAGAGCCAATGAATCAACAACACTTTATGTTGCTTATGCTGTTCAAAAAGAGCTCTCCACTTAATTGATGGCTTCAATTTTTACTCCTCTTTCAAATAATTTAATCTTCTAAACATGCCTTCAGTATTCGATCATTCTTTTATGGAAGAAGATACAGAATAAGTAACGCTTTTGTATCTGTATCGTGGGAATGGTGGATTACTCCACGGGACTTAGGCCCATTGTGCATCATCTTAAGTTGATAGGCAACTCCTAGCTGTCTACAGATTTTATGTAAAAGTCGCCAAAAGGTGATTCTCGCAAGTAACGCTTATACGTGCATTGTATAAAGTCGGTCGCTTAAGAAATTATCAATCAAAAATTTTCCATGCTGGTATCCATCACATCTTAGGAAGTTGATTTATAATAAAAAGATTGCTCAATATCTACAAACGTGTCAAGTCTCCTGAAAGTTATGCTGTATTTAGTAGTCTAAGAGCTCACTGTAAACTCTTCTCCAGAGAGTATTATTTAAATTATATAAAATCTATTCAAAGTAATATCCAAGACCTTCTGGAATTTTGTTAACATCAAAAAAGATAATTTTGTTATTCCAGATACAATGAACTAGAACTAGGGCATGGAAATAGCTAACTTATTTTCCGACCATTTTTTTTATTCTACACCAAATCAGACTAGCGATCTGTATGAATGTAACATTGAATCGAAACTTAATGTATATCATATCCGAATTTCAACTATTTACGAGAAGTTATCTAAACTTGATACAAGAAAGAAAGGGACCAGGGGCCCTATCCTCGGCAATCGTTTTCTAAAAAACGTATACGCCTTAGCAACATGCGAGCTATTCGCTATTCTCGACATTCGTTTTAAAAGCGTGTACGTTTTTAAAACGGGTGTTTTACAGCGAGCGGAATTTCTCACACGTTTGTGATAAAACGTGCATGTTTTCAAGGATTTAGTTTCACTTATATGTCACTTTTAGGATGATTAATAATATTGATTGATTTTAACAAATTTTACATTTTATTAATACCTACAAAAGTATCTAATCTCTTATAAATATGGTTTGCAGTACTAAAAAAGTCTAATAGCTGAGAATTTATTTAAATTAATACAATAATTAGTACAATTAGAAAACTTGGAAGATAAGAATGCTAAAAGCAGAGATTTACCTAACTTGAAGCCACTTCAAATCCTACACTTCCTTGAGAAAATAGGATTGGAAGGGTCGTTATAGGCATCGAGACATTTTCTTAGTGCATTGGCGACAGTAGGGGGCACAATAGATTTTTTAGGTCGCAGTGTATTAACACCCCATTCTCAACATAACATAACTTAAAGATTTAGACATGCAGAGGCAGAATCCATTTTTTTAATTTAATGGATATTGAATGAATATTTTTTATATTTTACCGTGTAAGAATTTAATTATTAATTCATGTATATTTTATTTATATATATTAATTTGCTTGCGGTTTCTTGCAAGTGGTAGTTCAAAGCTCTTCTATATCACACGTTGTGTCCAGAACTTTTAACAATTTTGTAAAATTGCCACAATATATTAAAGAACTGAATGAGATTAGCAAAGTTTTTAAGTTAATTTTATATCATAAAAACTAGGTTTTATGACGTACAATTTTTCTAGAATTATAGGTTACATTGACAGCACTCGTATAGCTGTTTTTCCAATGATTAACGATTTAGTTTATCATGAACATTGATATATTTGTGATTATAAAAAATCATCATTCGATAAATTTACAATTGGTTTGTTGTAATTAAATTACATAATCCTTATTTTTTTATGGCCTGCACATTACTTGAATTCAGCGATATAGACAGTTTACAGTGATGCCAGACATATTATATGCTTGTTAAAAACGTATACTTTCTAAAAAACGAATGCTCATAGAACGCCAGTCAAGAATATATATTTTAAAAACTACTCGCTGTTGAACCATTCGCTTTCGAAAACGGTTCGTTTTTTTAGCGAATGTCGAGGATAGCCGCCCAGGCCATGATGCCATTTCCTTACTCCTGAAACACTGCAGCTTCATATTGTCTAGTCTTCCGTTTTTACTTTTAACAATTCATTGGATTCGATAGATTTTCCTGATTATTGGAAACTCTCATTATTACATCAATATATGGGTCCGGTAAGAAATCTGACAATAAAAGCTTCCGTCCCGTATATTAAAAATCGATCCTGTTTAGAACAATTTTATTAGATATATAGCCTTTATATTACAAACTTTTTATGATTAGGCAAAAATAGAGTAGTTTTTAAAAATACTTTTGATAACCAGAAGAAAACAGACCTGATATTACTTTTTAGTTTTGTTGATGGAAGATATGATTGTCCTGAAATCCTATCGAAAAATTAATATTTTTGTTCCTACTCGTAATATCAGGCAATCACAAATATGTTAGTTTCCTTTTCATAGACTTGATAGTACTTTTACCAGTTGTATTCCTTGGATACTTATATTGACAAACTCTCTTATAAAATTTAATTCATTTGGAAATAGTATTAATTACAATATTCAAGACATTTTTAACAATTATACAAATATACAAATAAATAACACAATATTATTTAAAAATTTCAGGTACTTAGTAACATAGTTAGGCAACCAGCACAGCCACCCCAATATGTCCCACCAACGCAACAAATACAACAACCGCCCCAAATCCAAATGCAACCGCCTCAACCCCCGCAGATGCCTCAACAAACCCAATACGACGAAGATATGGGATACCGTACGATGACCCGCGAAGACGTAGCTATCCTCCAAGAAAGGAGGATATCTTCCAATCTCATGTCTCCGCAACAAACCTCCCCGATGACTCCCCAACAGAATAACGTGCCTGTACCGCCAGCCATGCCCTTGGGAGCGCCGAGTCCAGTTTCGCCTCCACAGAACGTTGTTGTGGGGAACCAAACTGGACACCAACGGACGGTAAGCGCTCCGCCGGCACCTCCTCCGCCCCCAGGTCCTCCCGGGCAGCCTGGTGGCGGAGCGGCACCTCCCCCACCGCCACCACCACCTATGAATATGTCTAGGTCGCAGAGTAGCGATGGCGGCGAAGTCAACTCGTTAGCTGCCCAATTGCAAAACGCTAGGCTCAAGAGGAATAGTAAGGTTAGTATAGAGTTGGATCCAATGATTTTAAAATAATGAGTTTCTTGTTTTAACCTTCATTATCCAATATTTACTATTTACAAGAATATATTGTTGAATATTGTTGCATTATTCTATTGTGTACAAAAAACTATTTTTAGAACGCAATTATCTAATAAAATAAACCCTAAGTACCTGTTACGAACTATTGAAAATTTCCCTTTCAGATGGTTTAGTAAACTTTTAAATTTTTCTTCAGGAAACATTTTATTTTTCAAGATGCGTCCCTAATGAAAAAGCACTTTCTTCTTTACAAAATGAGGATGTTTATCTTTGATTTTGTTGCAACAAATTGGCAATACTCGCCATTTATTGTTTTCCCCTTTTCTAAGTAGTCAACCAACATAATCTTTCCTGCTGACAATAGTAGTTTGTGCAACAACAGTGAATATGGACAATCCACTCGAGTTGTACAGTATATTTTTTCTACCACCCACTAACGGACATCTACAACTATTGAAAATTATTTTAGATAAAATAACTAATTTAAAAATAATTTGACATTTACTAATTTATAAAATAAAATAAACAAAAAAAAAGAAAAAGATTTAATTTAATTTGTCCCCATCCGAGATTTGAACCCGGACCTTCCGCATGAAAGGCAAGTGCGCTGATCTCACCACCATCTACGCGCTCAACATTTTTGTTTTAATACTCGTAATTAAATTAACTTCATTTAGTTTTATTTAAATTAACAAATTCCTTATAATTATAGACAAAATAATAATAGAAATGCTTTTATTTATCGATTCTACACAAGAATAACTCATTTTAATTTATATTTAATCTCAATAACTAAAAATATACTGACAAATACTTTGTCAGAATTTTCACTTAAATACAATTTTAAAAATAATAGCAGACAGAATGGTAAAGAAGATTCCTCCTAATTTGTGCCATATTTGAGTTAGGCCACGTAGTTAGTGAACAATCCTTGTATACACCAAATCAATTGTCTCTGTATTAGGAGGCTGATGTAAAGTAGTAGTCCAAGATCCGAAGTAAGGTCGACTTTCATTCATCTGTTTAACGGATATTTTTTTTTTATTAAATAAAATGTTTATAAATACACCGCAAATAGGTTGCCTAAGAAAATACTGTCCAGACTATTTTCTTAAAGTGAAAACGACACCCTATAAAGTATTCCTCAGTTGCTTCAACTATGCCAAAAATTTAATCAGCTCACCGCAGGATGGATTAAAGCTTAAGTTTAAAATTTGGTGTTTTTCTATTCATCCGTTTCGAGTTATTCTAAATTTGCACTTTTCCTCAAATATCTCGAAAACGGTCCATTTAAGGGAAATCATTTATGAAACCAAAATTATAGAGAATGACATCGCAAGCAACTTTTATCGTTATTCCTAGACTTTCCTTATTTCTATATAGAAAGGAAAGTAAAAAATATCCGTGACAGTATTTTCTTAGGTAACCCATTTGCGGTATTTTATAAACATATTTTATTTAATAAACAGAACTTTCATCCATTAAACATATGGACGAAGGTCGACTTTACTTTGGATCCTGTACTATAGTATATTCAGTATTTTTTTTATTTTTTATTTAAAATATCGTGTTATCTCCCATAATAATATATTTTGGATTATTTGCATTTTACCTATTCTTTCCATATCTATGATTTTACTACTTTTCATTGTTTCAATAATTCAAAACAATGCACCAGCTTTTTTATGGACCGTACTTAAATAATTTTGTTCTATTCCAAAATGAAATGTAACAGTTGATAGGTAGTTATTAATTTCCTTTTCAATATTAATTGATCTCCAAAATGCAGTTAAATATGATATAGTTTATTTATTTTTAATAGTTATTTATGCAACCAGTTACGAAATGCTTTATTTTATGTAACGAGTAAGTTTATTTTGTCCTGTATTGTGTTTTAATTATTTTGTGCTGATTTAGATTGGAAAATAAGGGCCAAACAAACATTATCACTAAGTTGTAAGTTTAACGAAATTCTGTTTTTATAATCAACCTGCTCTTCTTTGATATAAAATTTTAATAATAATGTATATTTATTGAGTTTAAAACCAAAAAAAGGTTTATTTTTCTTTTCGCAACATGTGAAATAATGAATTTTTCGAAACTGGTTGTGTAAAGTAGATCATTTTGACATTTGCTGCGATTACAAGAAACGTCACTTTGTATGTCAAAATTAGAAAAACAATATTTATATAGATACAGAAATAAAAAAAAACTCGCAAATCCCACCCTGACGCAATTTAGAGGTGTTTGGTTCCGAGATTTAACAAAAAATTAAAACATTCCTTTTTCTTTCACGCAACTCGTATAAATTGGCGATTGATAAAAATCTATTTACAGTTCAGAGTAACTAATAGGTATTAATTTGTTTAAACTTCATGCTTTAAACTGAAATTTATCAATTAGTAATGGAAGCGTTAAATTACATTTAATTTGTGTAATTTCAAATATCCCATTTACAATAAGTCCTTCTTAGACTTTCACAACAGCAAGTAGCCTAATTGCAGAAACTTACCTAGAAAAAAAGAATAATACCCATTATTTCGATTTAGCTATCAGATACCTAAATAAAATGCGGTAATAATTATTGTTTCATGAAACGAGTTACTGGAACAGTTCAAAAGATTTTGACTTGGAGATAAAACTGTTTAAATCTTGTTAAACGAGAATGTGTACTTATTAATTTATTATAGCAATTTCTAATTAATGATAGCGGTATCTCTGTTAATAAATACTGTTTAAAGAAATATTTTTTTTCAAACCTTACGATATCCAAATTTCTATTTCCCTTTGACTACGACTTTTATATGCCTTAATTGATGTTTTTTTATAATTCTGCTCTTATAATCCTTAAAATTGTTCATATTGACCGACTATGGTCATATTGACCGGCAACAGTGGTCCCATTAATGCGGTGACGGTCATATGAGCCGGCTGTCCATTTATTTTAAACTCACGAATTTAGCCGACTGTGTGTAACATTTTGCACGTATACCTTTTCAAAAATAAGTTGTAGGAATTTAGAAAATTTAAAACAAAAATGGCCAATTTCGAATTCATGTCGGTCATATTGACCGGCAATATATGTTTCATTCGCGCAGTAAGGGTCCTATGAGATGGCCCAATATTAATTTTAAACACACGAATTAAGACAATGGTCATATTTAACGAGTGTTTTCTTATAGCAAATGACATTCTTTAACGTTTTATACATAGAAATTTTAAAAATAATATGTATTCATTTAGAAAATTCAAAAACAAACTTCCAAATTCGGACTCAAATAGAAGGCAATAACTTAACTGAAATACGGAGTAATATAGCCGTGTCGGTCACAATGACCGGTAACACTGGTTCTATTCGCATTGTGATGCTCATATGAACTGGTAGTCCAATATCATATGAACTGGCAGTCCAATAGTAATTTTACTCTCACAAATTAAGCCTACTGTAATATTTAACGAGTGTCTTCTTATAGCAAATGACATTCTTTATCGATTTGCACGCATACATTTTCAAAAATAAGTTGTAGGCAATAACGTAAATAAATTACTTCATGGTAATATATAGATGTGTCGGTCATAGTGACCGGCAATAGTAGTTCAATTCGCTCCGTGACGGTCATATGAGCCGGCAGTTTTATATAAATTTTAAATTCACGAATTAAGCCGATTATCATATTAAACGGGTGGTTTTTTATAGCAAATAACATTCTTTAACGTTTTGCACATAGAAATTGTAGGCATTTAGAAAATTCAAACACCAAATGACCAGATTCGAACTCAAATAGAAACACAGGGTGATATCATCACCTAGTCATTACATTGTGTATAAACTTTTTTGGGTTTAATTTTGCTATTGAATGGTTTTCAGTTTATAAAAAATGTTTGCAATGGTTTTCTAATTTTGTAGCGACAAAGTTCTTCACTTTAGAGAATTTACAATTCTCCTACACTAGAAGACAGTGAAGTAACGTGTAATAGAAATTAAGTCTTTTTTTTTTTGTATTTCGTGGTGCTGTATATAACCACGTTAAAAAAATCAATTTAGTTTTGCTTAAACGTGTTTTTTAATAATCTCTTGACCCCACTTGTCTAAGCTCACATTATAATATAATTGGCCTATGGGCCTAATTTTTAGCTCAACAGTTAACGTGTTAACTATTGACTCAATTTAGGTTCGATAAACGTATTAACGAAAAGGTTAGGAAAGCCTACTCTTCCCTAAAACTAATTTATCCACATAGAACAGATTTGTCTACTGCAACTGATTCTCTTGTTTTATCGCACTTTAATCATTGCGATACGGTATATGGTTCGTTTTTACGATTAATTGATAAGAATCGAATTAAAAAAGTACAAAATAGTTGTTTAATGATCTGTGGCATAAGGAGAAGGCAGAGGATTTCTTATAAATTGAAAGAGGCCAATTGGCTAAACATGTTTAATCGTCAGAAACTTAATTATCTCTGTTTATTTTATAAAATAGTAAAGACCAAAATTCCCTCATACTTACATCAAAAGATAATTTTTCGGACTGACGTCCATCAATTTAAGGAAAAAGAATGCCATTACTATCCCATCTCATAATAAACAAATGTTCAAAAAATCATTTAGTTGCCAAATTGCATTGAACAGTCATCTTGAAATACAAAATTTCAGTCTTTCATTAACAGCCTTTAAAAATAAATACAAACAAATTTTTCGAACAGACATTTTAAATTTTAAGTTTTGTTTGATTTTTAATATTAATTGATATAGATTAAGGTTCCTTTCGCTAGTTAATTATTCTTTTAACTGTATTTTTGAGTTAATCTAAATATGTATTTTTATTCTTTATTTTATTTATTTTTTTCAAGGCGAGTGAGGTAGAATTGGTCTTATGACTGTAATTATTGTATTTTTCTTTATATTTTGTATTGGCAAATAAACTATTACTATCTTTTTGCACCATACTCAGTTCGTAAAATTTTACTTTACAAACTAGTGTGTGTTATTAAATTATGAATGTTTAAAAGTTATTTTTTTTTTTATTGAGTATAGAATTGCTCTTATACGCGTATTTTATCTATTTAAATATTTTGTAGAATACTCCACCTCCGACTGAAAATAGTGGCTCATCGACCAGTAGTGGCGGTAGCAGTAATTATGGTACCCTTGGAAGAGGAGGCGGTGGTAGTATGGCCTCGATGATGGATGAAATGGCCAAAACGTTGGCTAGGAGACGAGCTGCGGTAAGTACTATGAGCTTAATAAATCGCAAAAGTTATAAAAATTGTACAAATTGTTTTTCATCTTGTTTTAAACATTTTTTCTATCTTCGGACGATGGTGTTTGTACATGCTATAGTAATTGGTATAATTATCCCATAATCGTCTATCCCTTCCACATCTTATTATTCCAACTGTCTCTGTTCAATAAATTCTAAAGTCGATTGTATTTCTAGGTCTCTTCTTGTCTGTCTCATTTGGCCATACCTTGTATTCTCATCAGGAACTTCATCTTGACAGCTTGTATCTTTCTTTTTTGTCTTTCAAATACCCTTAATTCACAACTAAATGTTATTGCAGGTCTGAATATTGATTTAAATACTCTAATTTTCGTTTTGAGATATTTTTTTTTTCCCTATGAATTTATTATTGCATAGTAAAGATTCATTGTTTTTTAACTAGTTTGTTTATATCTGCTTCTTCATCTAGTATTGCTCATATTGCTATATTTTTACCATCAATACCTAATTGTCTATGTTTATCGTAGGTGGAGAAAAAAGTGCCGGACAAAGAAGACGACGAGAAGAAAGCGGCGATATGGGAGAAGACCAACACCCTACCGAGCAATACTTCAAAATTCAACTCAGAATCTCCGAAGGGCGTCAGAAAACGATTCGGTTCGGCGTCCGAAGAAACGATATTAAAAGTTAATGGCCTATCCGAAGTGGGGGGACTGTCGATCGGTCCCACCGAAATGGAGAGTCTCAAAAATGAGATAGTCAAAGAGGTCAGAAAAGAAATCGCGAAAATGAAACAGGAAATTCTAGATGGTAAGTTACTTTTAATTAGTGATGGATCGCTTGGAAAAGTCCGACGGACTAGTTTAAAAAGTTGACTAACAAACAAAGGCCAAATATAGTTAAAAAAAAAAGAAACGATAAATTATTACTGACTGTTATATAGTTTAAAGATGTTTTAGAATTTTCGTTTCATATCTTATTACTCGTAAAATAAACTCATGAAAAAATTACCAAAAAAATCCAAAGGTTGGAAGTGTTTCACAAATGATTTGTAAAAAAAAAAACGAAAATAAAAATGCAAATATTGTTCCCAAAGTGGTTTTTAAAAAACATACAGGATGGAGATTTAACTGTGTCTTCTATGCTCAAGGTCGACTACTTTTCATTGCTTCTCACTATTTTTCCGGTCATGTCCGTCGGACTGGTCCAAAAATTACTTTTCATGAAAAGTTCCATTACTACTTTTAATATAATGGCTAATAGTTTAGGAGCCCACTGCAAAATGTTGGGTCGCTCACTAGTATGGCTAAATTTTCATGAAAACGTCGGGTAATATATTGTTCAATAGTAATCCGTCGGCACCCGCCCCAATATCGTTTGCGTAAATAGAGAATCTTAATTTTGTTTTATTATTGTAATTTATAAAATTATTAGAATTTAAACTTTCTTTATTACAAAATAAAGGCAAATATTTATTTTAATACTGTTCAAAATGCAAAAAATATACTTATAGTTAAAAAAATGTGAAAAAATAAGTGCAAGGATTTACACATTTTTCAGTCATCACTAAATTCCTCGGAATTGGCATCACTGTCACATTGCTCGATAATTTCGTTGGCGTTGATAACTATTTCATTTGAAATACAATTACCTTCTTGCAGGTTTCACGGGCAATTTACAATCACGTTATATTTATTTGTCTCATTTAATCTATGCATTTAATGCAGTAGATGGATTTCGGTTAAAACCTTCATTAATGCATTTGTTAATAATCTAATTACATAAAAAGTCAATACTTTTACAGTTGTTTGCAAATTAATATTTTTAAGTTCAGCTCGGTATTTTGGGTTCAAGTTGTTATTTTCTTTAAACATTTCGAATAATATCTGGTGTCATATTGGTATGACAACAACAAATTTCAAATTGCAGCACTCTGTTTATTTTTTTCTAAGTTTAGTCGCTGCCTTTTAAGACGTTACCGCTATTTGTGCATAAAAACACCTGGCTATCCTCGACAATCGCGAAAAAAACTAACCGTTTTCCAAAGTGAGTGGTTGAAGAGCGAGTAGTTTTCGAAATCTATATTCTTGACTGTCGTTCGATGAGCATTCGTTTTTTAAAACGTGTACGTTTTTAATAAGCAGATAATATGTTTGGCATCACTGTAAACTGTCTATATCGCTGAATTCAAGTAATGTGCAGGCCCAGTGGCGTAGCCAGAAATTTTTCATGGGGGGGGGGGGGGGGGGGCTGTGAGAACAAACAGTTAATAGTGAAAACGGTGACGGGAAGGCCTACGGGGGGGGTTCTGACTCCCCAAACCCCCCTGTGGCTACGTCACTGTGCAGGCCATAAAAGAATAAGGATTATATAATTTTATTACAGCAGACCAATTGTAAATTTATCAAACGATTTTTTCTAATCACATAATATATCAATGTTCAGGGTAAACTGAATCGCTAATTTTTGGCGGAAAAATAGCTATAAGGGTGCAGTCAATACAACATATAATTCTAGGAAAATCGTACGTCATAAAAACCTAGTTTTTATGGTATAAAATTAATTTAAATCATAACTTTGCTTATCTCATTCAGTTCTTTAATATTTTGGGGCATTTTACAAAATTGTTAAAATTTCTGGATACAACGTGTGATACAGAAGAGCTTTGAACTACCACTTGTAGGAAACCGCAAGCAAATTAATATATGTAAATAAAACATACATGAATTAATAATTAAATTCTTACATGGCAAGATATAAAAAATATTTATTCAGTATCCATTAAATTTAAAAAAATGGATTCTGTCTCTGCAAGTTTTCTAATTGTACAATTATTGATAATATAATTAAAAGAAATTCTCAGCTATTAGATTTTTTAGTACTGCAAACCATATTTATAAGAAATTAGATACTTTTGTAGGTATTAATAAAAAGTAGTTTACCTAGAATTTGTTAAAATCAATCAATATTATTAATCATCCTAAAAGTGACATGAGTGACGACATTGAATAAATCTTTGAAAACTTGCACGTTTTATCAAAAACGCGTTAAAAATTCCGCTTGCTGTAAAACACCCGTTTTAAGAACGTACACGCTTTTAAAACGAATGTCGAGAATAGCGAATAGCTCGTATGTCGCTAAAGCGTTTACGTTTTTTGAAAACGATAGCCGAGGATAGGGCCCCAGGCCATCGTTATAACAATTTATTAATAGACAAAGGAAGAAATATGCGAGTTACAACTTGAGGCAATGACAGATGTCAAATAAAGGTCAGCTGTGCGCACACTCCCAAACAACTTATCCTTATCTAAAGCGCGGATTTCAAACTTGACCAGTGGCAGCCTAAGTTTTGCAAACGCTTTCGGGCGGCAGCCGGATATTTTCTTGTTGGAAATTTTGCGAGTTTTCCAACGGTATTTAGTTTGACTATAAAAGAGATGAATGTATAAAAACAACATCAATATAGTACTTTTCGACCCTATCAGCTACCCTTAACGCAAGGAATGATGGTGGGCAGCCGGGTATAGAAAATTATATTTAATTACTAACTATCGATTAGGTAGAAAATTTAGCAAAAAAGTGATGAGTAGAGGGTGGTACATATTTTCAATTTTTAATAATTTTTTGTAACGTAAAATGCAAACGATATTGGGGCGGCTGCCGACGGATTACTATTGCACGATTTACCTGAAAATTTAGCCATACTAGTGATCGACCCAACATTTTGCAGTGGGCTTTTTTGTTATTTTTTTTTTAATTAGGTAAAATATCACTGTAGAATTAACTCGATACTTGAAAGTGTAGACGTCGAACGACTTTTTGGCAAATTGTCAGTCATATTCATTTCTCATGTGTATTTAATGCACAATAGAGACCATTCAATCCGTTGGTTTGTTGCAATAACGATCAGAAATAGTTAGTGATATTCAGGATTTTACACTTTAGATCGTTTAGACGGCCAATGACTGTTTCTAGTTGTTGGAACAAGCCCTCTGTCTATGTCATTGTTAGCTGACAAAGGTCCCTATCTGTTATGTGCATGTTCCTATAATACCTTGTTCAATTCATCGTAAGACATATCCCTGTGTTAAAATTTCCTTATCCATATTATGTTTCTGCCAGTTACTTGTTGATCTTTTCTCTATTCTTTCTTATGTTTTAGTATTTGTCAACTATATAAGTAAAATATATATTTTTTTCTTTTTCAGCAATCAAATCAGAACTGAACCGAAGGTAATTTACGTGCAAAGCATCAGAACCTTAATAATTATTGAACTTTTTGTATCATTTTTACACATGAACCAGACTAAACGACAATTTATAATGTTTAAGATGTAAGTAATAATCTCGATATTTCTAACGTATACAATGTGCGTTTTCGTTTCGAAAAGTGGATTATGGAAAGCATTCTCCTTTTTGTACATTCGGCCGTTCTGTACAGCACTAGATAGGTAATTTAAACAAATATATGTAACGAAAAATACGGGGGTTGTGTAAGATTCTAAAAATCGGAGATACTTTTCGATATTTTTTTAAAGATGTTTGAAAAAATATTTCCCTTGATTCATATATTCAGTCATTTCAGCTAAATTTATAAAATTTGCTGATAAAAACACTACAGGTTTCTTGTCAAAAATGTGTTATGATATTCTTCGTTTTTATGATATATTGCATTTAGAAAATAATCTTCAATATAGTAATACATTTTTTTAACTGAACAACATATTCTAATAAATTGGATACAAAATTTCTTTGGTCTTATATTTTGGAAGCTTCATTAAATATTCCCCAATTATCGTTAGATCTCTTCAATAAAATCGACGTTTTTCCTTTGATTCTCAGTTTCAATTTAATTGAGAAGTAGAAAGCACAAGGGCATAAGTCAGGAGAGTTGGTAGTTGGATGTCGGAAAGTGGTCATGCTGTTTTGTGCTAAATCACAATTAAGGCTCGTTATCAATGCCCAATGAATTTGTTTTTGTTCTTGCACATCTCAGACTATTAAAGTTACATATTCTTCCTCAGAAACCCATGCAGTAGAACTGTATCAAGGAAATTGTTCCAGGTTCGTCCTGTTTCTGGGACTAGATTCCGGTCAAGCCTTTATTGTGTTGGATATTAAAATAAAGCAGATAGTGGTCATGCTGTTTGGTGCGAATTCATAATTAAGGCTCGTTATCATTGCACAACAAATTTGTTTCTGGTCTTGCACATTTCAGACCATTGGAGTTTTGTATTCTCCCTTAGAAATCTACTCAGTAGAACCAGGTTCTTCCTGATTCTGAAACTGTTTCGGCCAAGTCTTTATTACGCATCAAATTCAAATTGGCGGGAAATAAAAAATAAAATTCAAATCCGGCTCCAGGATTATGAAGATTAGATTGCTTTCGTAGATTGGAAGTAGGTTATTCAAATATTTTTCCGAATGTCTGCGTATATACCTAAATATCGATCGGTACCTCCAAATCGGGTACAGAACGGCCGAAAAAATTTTTACATTAAAAATTGCTAGATAGATGTCGTGAGGAAAAAAAATGGAAACACTTTTTTTTTCATTTGATAAGTTTTAATATAGTATTTATTTTACCATTATATAATTTATATGATTATCTATTTAAAAAATGTTTTTTAGTGATTCCTATGTTGCGCAGTCGAAGTGAGGGATGCATTTAGTTGTTTAATAGTTTTATTGCATTTTGGATTTTTCAAATATATTAATAATAGATTAAATATTGTTAAGCTATTTTGTCATTATTGAGTAAACATATGATTTAAAGAAAAATTCTGAGATAGAACATATGCTGAAAACGTTTTCCTTCTGCCTGTCATTTCAGAGTTTTTAGTCCGTTTTGTTTAGACTAAATAATTTTTCAACCTTTTTAAATATTTGCTGCAGTAATGACAATTCGCTAATTTGCGATAATACCGACATAACTCAAAATACTTCAATTCGAAATAATAAAATTCAAAAATTCTGTTTGGTTTAACATTGTGAAACTTGAAAAGTGTCAATGATAATAGCAACAGCATCAAGCGAATACCACTATAACTACAGAAGTGTCAGTGTTTCTGAATAAAGAATGTACCTTTTCAATTGTTTTGTTGCAATAATCTATGAATTGATGATTTTTGAATTGTACCGGTATAAGAACGTTTTAAGAATAATATATTCATTAAAATCCAAGATGCAATACCGAAATCGAGATCACTAGTTTTTAAGATAATTTAATTTTATCGCAAATTGGTCTTACACAGAATTAATAAAAATTGATCTGTGCTGTAACAAAATTTTTACAAATGCATTTTCTCAATTATTGGAAAAAGACATAACAAAGACTGAAAACGATATTTATACAAATTTTATATGGAGGAATGTGGTAATTCTAGAAAAATAACATCTACGACTATTGTAGATCGATCAACTGCCTATAACGACACTCCCTAAGTTGTTTTTCGAGTTGTCAAGAGAAATGGGCGATTCGTTCCACAGAAAACGTAATTTTTATATAATTAAACGATTTTGATGTCTCAATTGTAAACATTTTTAAACAATGACAATTTTTTTGAGTAACAGATGGTTACTGTTTTTCTGTGGACGAAACCCTCCAAGCAACGATTTTCCTCTGCACAAGCTTTACGCTCTCTTTTTGTATATTAGTAAAATAACTATTAGTCATTGTCCCATATCTTGTACTGCGTAACGCCTGTATATATTCTTAGCTTATAAGGACTTCCATTGACAATTTTTATCTCAAGATTGGACACCAAACGGGTTTGTTACTTCGACCATTGCGTTTTTTTTTTAAATTTTATTCAGTATTTTTTCGTGTTTTGACACCGGATATCAGTATTGTTTTTTAAATCTAATATAAATTTTTATGGCATTATTAAAAATATGATTTTGTATTGCTATGTTATAAAAAAAATACGTAACGTTCTAGTCAATTTTATTCCTAATACATGGCTTCTAATCTCATTTCTTGTTTTCTTTCATAGTAGTGTAAAAAAAGTATAGTCTTACTCGAAATGTTTATGTAGTATGAATATGGAAGGGGCATACCAATATTGCCATCAAAATCATAATTCCAATGTTCTAACCACTCCCAAAATACTGGTACGTACAAATGTCTTGAAATCTTCGCAGTCATCAAAGAAACCCCAAAATATTAAACGAAATCACCGAAATTCCGAAATCATCACCAAAATGACTTCAAAATCAATACTCGTGCACCGAAATCAACATGATACGGATAATCGGTCATTTTGACCCAGGATGTCCGGGTTTGGCGATCATTATCTAGGTTTGCAATAAAATTGTCCGGGGAAATGCCGATCTGAAATTAACGCAGCAGGTAGATCAAAAAGCAAGTGAATATTCCTCAAAAAAATATATTTATAGTACAATAATAATTAAATCGCCGAAATACTATAAAGGGGGATTTCGGCGAAATATTATAGAACGATAGGTGATTTCGCCTAAATGATCAAAATCGTAAAAATATATAAAAGATTTCGGTGAAATCGCCGAAATCATATGAAATTTTAATACGGGTACCTTTTAATCTTAGTAGTTCACGTGTCGGTCAAAATATTCAAAACCATCTATCAACAAACCACTTTTACTTTCACTTCAGCTTCCTGACGTCGACCCGTTAAAAATAATTTGCATATTTCTATTATTTAAATGATAATGAGTCATACTAGTTATTTATGATACAAGTGTAAAAAAGTTCCATAATAAATACTTTTAAGCGAAGAGTAAACCACTAAGATCAAAACGTACCCCTATGTATTTCTATACACATTTACGAATTCGGGGAAATCATCCATGGTTCTATATTATTTCGGTGACACAAAAAAAAAGAGGGAAGCACAAAACACGAGACAAGTTTCTATCACCTCTGCTCCCACAATTTACAATCATTCAAGTCACTAGCATGTTGGAAATACTTCACTAAAATAAATCAGTCTAATGTAATGTATTTTCTTTTTATTACACATCTTTTTAGCATTTATTACTTCTAATACTCTTTATTTCCAATGTCCTCAACAAGCAACTGTAGCAAACATAACACTAAAGAGTATTTTTGATCTAAAGCCATTCTATAAATCACAATTTTCCTTTTTTAAGCTGTCAATGTATTACAAAAATTACTTCGATAAATATGTAAACAAAAGTTTGTGGTCTGATGCAAATGTAATTATGCACGAATTATGAATTGCCCGCGCAAAGTAGCAAGTTTTAACCGGATTTATATCCACAAAACGTCAGCGCAGTAAAAGACACCCGTCTTTTTCCCGCCCAGAGATCGTCAGTTATGATTGTTTCCTAAACTGGGGCCTAATTGTGCACTCTAACCAGTCCCAATTTTGCATTAGATGAAAAAAATAATTACTACACGATTTGGATATTGTTATAATGATGAATTTAAAACAAGAAGATTGTTTAGATCTGCGTGAAGGTGTTTTCAAAAACGAACCAGATCTTGTTTCTGGACAAACGCATTCCAGAAACCAACACATCAAGATCAAGATAAAAATTTGAATTGAAATTTAACAGGAAATTATCGAATGTGAAGACCCTATAGTTAAACAATGTTCGGATTTGCTGCCAAATATTGTGATTCAGTTGCAAAAAAAAAATATTGTTATTTTGCCCTGAAACTATTAGAAAAGAACTTGACAACACTAGTGAAGTGAAAGCAACAGTAACAGAGATTAGTGAATATTCAATCTAAAGGTGAACTTTTGACTACGCATTGTGATTTACATACTGAATATTCAATTTCACAGGCTCGTGCGGCAGGGAACAAGATGAAAGAATATCTAATTCCATCTCGAAAGTTTTCTCCTTTCTTGAAGTAAATTCATTGTGCTCTACATTTGTTTAGTTTCATTCTTGAGGTATATTCATAAATTCATTACTTTTATTGCTCTACATTTCTTTAGTTTTATTCTTGAGGTATATTCATAAATTCATGACATTTTTGCTCTACACTTCTTGGTCATGATTTCGATGATGATCTCGGGATTTCCGTGATGATATTGATAGAATTTAAAGCGATTTCAGATGAAAATGTACCAGTATTTCGGGAATGGTTCATCCATCGCTTTTAACTTAAGTATGGTACACTATTTTTCTGCAAATCCTTTTAAAATTACATAAAAAGTAAATATTTTTGTCATTTATAATTTGACATTTTTTAAAAGTTTCAATTTGTATAAGTGACAGTATTTCTATAGTGACAGTTCCCTTTAAACATACCTCTCATTAAATAAATAACACTGTAACCAATCGTCAAGAAACCTATTTTTAATGGATTTGTAAAAAAATACTCTTAAAAGATGGTTTACTAGAAAACAGTTATAAAACAGGGTGAAACTAAAAGTGGTCCTAGGTTTTAATAAACAAAATTGAATAAGATCATCTTATTATCAGATATAAAAAGTTAATATAACGTTTTTGAATTAGGTATTTTGATGAGTACTATATGGTGTAGAAATATTTTATAAAACGTAAGCCTGGTGCCAATGTATATGAAACAATAACCCACTGGTTGAAGTAACGACAGTTTTTTTGTTTTTATTTTTTTAACCTTTATTAAAGTTGCTCCAACGGGTACTTATTTTGGTACCTGGACTAACAGAAAAGGAAAAGGCCGTGTATAATAGAATTCATTAGAAGCTTGATAGAGTAGCGTAAATCATTATAATACATCGAATATCATAAAAGCAAACCTAATTTTTCAACGGAATTTTATAAACGCAAGAAATCGTTTTTTAAAAAAAATTATATACCAAAGAGTATTTTTTCGTAACAAGCTTAGTGATGTGCCATTCTAGAAATCAGGACGGATTATACTAAAAAATAACCAAAATAAAATTGTGCAGGATATATACCATTGTTACCTCTGGTTGAACCAATATTTAAAGTAGTGAATCTAAAGACTTTTTTATGCTTCGTTTCAAGAAGCCTCAGGTTTCAAATGGGAGGACTCTAATATCTTTCTAGTTTTATTATAACATCATTTAGGAGTCCCAATAATTCTTCTACAGAAGTTGTTAAAGAGACTTTGGTTTGTGCAGGTGTGAATATGATCATGATATCAGATTATTTGATTTAATGTTTATTTTTTCAAAGACTTGAGAAAAATATATGACTGGTATACCAATCAGAGGGACAATGTAACTTCCATCACAAGTACTATATTAATTATTTCATATCAATATATTTTTTAGTATGGAAAAAACCTTGTTTTTCATTAGAGCTGATATTTAAAAACAAATACATATTTGTATTTAAAGTGAAGTTATAATTTATAATATTGCAGAAAAAGTTGTAAAAACGCAAACTCAAGAAAGAATTACTTTGCCAACTCACTGAATTTCATATTAAACTGGATGGTTATGCCAACTTCTTATTTCTAATCTGATCTGAGTGCAAAAAATGATCGGTGTGCATGACAAAAAGGGCTTCAAACTGTTAATTTCAAGTGTTCCACATCATGTTTTCCACTGGCGTATTATTATTATTG